GTGTGTGTGTGTGTGTGTGTGTGTGTGTGTGTGTGTGTGTGTGTGTGTGATAAATGCTCCCTCTGGGTATGTTTCAAAATGTTAAAAGAGTGAACTTAGACCAATTCTACCATCAGACAGATGTTTGAGGGGCCAGACTTACTCTCTCAAGCATCCCACACCAGACATGCACAAGTCATGGTTCCCACAATGTATCCTGGTGTGATGGACAACTATTGGTAGTTCGTAAAGTGCTTTACCTTAACAATTTATCAATTGTTAACAATTTATCAGAGTAAGTTTGAAAGCCGGGCATGGTGACTCATGCTTGCCATGCCAATGCTTGGAAGGATGAGGCAGAGGGATTGCTGTGAGTTGTAGGCTAGCCATGGCTACCCTGTAAGATCTTACTTCTAAAACAGTGAAATGAAACAGTAAGTATGAGCTGAGATGTACTCTCTTTCTCCAATAGAATACTCTATGGAAAGAGTATATACAATGTATCTTCAGGCATTGTCTTTAAAATAGCTTATCAAATGGCCAAGGGGTAATGTATAATGGCTTTTCCTTTGGGTTTTAGAAAATAATTAACATGTATATTAGCATTCACAAACATTGTCAAAAGACAAACTCTCTATATAGTAAAGACACATAAACTGGGAATGGGGGGCTGTATAGTCTCTGCTGTGGTGTGTGCGTGTGTGCGCTGAGTACATCAAAATCCTCATGTGCAGGGGCAAAGGTATTAGAGATGGAATCCTCAGGTGACTGGCGTGTAGGGTGGTGCTCTCCTAAATGGATTAGAGACTTTATTAGGAGGTCTAACATAGCCCCCCTTGTTGGTTTCACCATGTGAGGTGAAAGCTACCTCACTAGGACCAAATCTGTGAATTAGCAGTCTCGAGAGTATGCGATAAAAATTCCCATTGAAGCCGGGAGGTAATGGCACATGCCTTTAATCCCAGCACTTGGGAAGCAGAGGCAGGCAGACCTCTGTGAGTTCAAGGTCTACAGAACAAGTTCCAGGACAGACTCCAAAGCTACAAAGAAACCTTGTCTTGAAAAATCAGAAAGGAAAAAAAAATCCTATTGTAACAAGTTATTCCACCTAGGGTATTTTAGTACAGCCTGAATGGACTAAGTATTTAAAATGTTATACAGCCACGTGCATTATCTTTTTAAGAAGCTAGCTACTAAAAAACAATAGTCAGTTAATGCCTTTTAAATTCTATTCATATTCCCCTGTCCTTCAGGCATGTATCTGAAAAGCTTGTGCGTTCATTCACAGTATATATATAATATTAGTGATAGTAGTGGGAATTGAGCTACTAGACAAACACTACTTAGTGTAGACCTAACCCCAATTCATAATATTTAAAACATTAAAAGCACTTTAAAATAAATAATAAAACAACCCACTGAAGAGCCTCCGTAGATAACCCCTAAGGATAGAGTTCAATTACAGAGCCGAGCCTATTTCCGGACAACATGAGCAGGTGTGACCCAGTTAAGTTCAGCTCCTGGCCTGGATTCAACTGTCCTCTTGGCCTTGGTGACCATCCATCTGCTCTGCCCAAGTCTTATGCCCCCAGCAACAGAAAACAAATACTTGGGTACCATTTAACAGAAGAGTGTTCTGAATAAGGGGCCAGGGTGAGGTACAGGTGATATTTCTCTTGGGAATACAGCAAAATTACTTTTTTCTGGCATGTGTCTGTGTGTGTGGAGAGAGAGAAAGTGAGAAGAGCCTCCTGCTTTACTAAACTCACACTTGTGTCCGCGTGCACATACCCACAGACACACACATGGTGCTTCACTTTTAAGCATCCCGGGCATGACTTACAAACACTTTGACTCAGATGTCCAATAGTAACCTTGTCTCTTGTTCCCCCATAGGATGCAAAGCGCTGGTTAGAAAGGTGAGTTTCTGGAATCAATTGGGTAAGAAACAGGTCTGATGTCTTGGACACACCAGGGATGGGAATTCTGGGCAGAAATGAGGTCGTATCTATGAATAAAAGTTAATGGGGTCCATCCTTTGAGAGCGGCCAGGACTGACCTTGTCTTTTTCCTTAGGAGTGAGTCTCTGTTGCTTCGGAACCTAAAGCCAGCTCGAATCACAGACCTGAGCTCATCCCTGGTGATAAGAATGAACAAAGCACTGCTAAGGCTACAAAGTAAGTGGGCTCTATCCATGAACACTGTATACCCCGTGTATGTTTGCAACTAAATTTTCTAGGTGCTGTGGACATTCTTAAGGTATGGTGCTGGGGGTTGACTCCAGCCTGAGGACTAGCCCCTACTTCACCACTGAGCGAGACAGCTCCTGCTGCCTATTGTATGGATGTGTGTTTATAGTTTACCTCTCCTCAGACATATAAAGTTATTTTAGGCTCTGCATCTGGTAATTCCTTCATCTAATGCCTTCCCACTATATTGGAGTTTGTTTCAAATAATGTTCAGTTAATTAAAAGGGGGTGTTTCTTGAATGTTCTTGGCAGGCTTGTTTTGTTGTTGTTGTTGTTTGTTTGTTTGGTTGGTTGGTTGGTTGGTTGGTTTTTTGAGGGGGGTCACCTTCTGCACCAGTTTTATATTTTGTAAATGTGTTATTTACTGTTTTGGTTTTTCAAGACAGGGTTTTCTGTAGCTTTGGAGCCTGTCCTGGAACTAGCTCTTGTAGACCAGGCTGGCTTCAAACTCACAGAGATCTATCTGCCTGCCTCTGCCTCCCGAGTGCTGGGATTAAAGGTGTGTGTCACCACCACCCAGCTATTTACTGACTTTTAACAGTGGAACTTTTTGTTTGTTGTTGTTCTTGAGATTTTACCTCTTGAGGCCAGGAATAAAGGTATTTTTTTCTAGAGGAAACTTACTTTCATTGTTTTTGCTAGTCTTCTGGAGGTATTACAAACCTGTGAAAGCCTGCAACTTAAGCTGGGCAATGTGGCTGCTCTAATGTTGTGAAGTGGGCTGTTTTGCTTACTGAAGTTGAGAGAATGTGCTTGCTGGGCAGTGGTGGTGCACAACTTGAATCCCAGCACTTGGGAGGCAGCGACAGATAGATGGATCTCTGTGAGTTCGAGGCCAGCCTGGTCTAGATGAGTTCCAGGACAGGCTCCAAAGCTACAGAGAAACCCTGTCACAAAACAAAACAAAAAGGAAGGAAGGAACTTAAGAAGCCTTGTGCCGGTTAAGCTTTCTGTTGACCATGGCAATTTATAGAAGAAAGAATTCATTTATTTGAGGCTTATGGTTTCAGGGGATTCGAATTCATGGCAGAGCAGAGACAGCACAGTGTGAATGGCACGATTCTTTTGACACTTCAAAACCCACCATCAGTCACACATCTCCGGCAGCCACACCTCCTAATCCTTCCCCAAAAGGTCCACCAAGGACCAAATTTCAAACATAGAAGCCTCTGGGGACAACACCATAGATGTACCGCCAAGTTCAACGTTAGAAATAAGAAACACTGAAGTAGTCTAATGAAAAGGATGTGGATAATAGGTACTACTAAGAGATTCACCTTGGAGAGGGATCAAGTTGAAGTCTCATTTCAAATTTCTATTCCCCCCCCCATCCCTGTTTTTCCCTATCAAAACAGGGTTTCTCTGTGTAGCTTTGCCTATTTTGAAACTTGATCTGTTGACCAGACCGACCTCAAACTCAGAGAGATCTGCCTGCCTCTGCCTCCCCAGAGCTGGGATTAAAGGCATGCACCACCACTGCCTGGCGCCATACTATTTCTTACTAATGTTGACATTTTATTTAAGAAGTGGATCTTGATGATTCACCAGGTATTTAAATCCAAGGCTAGGCAGTATCTTGCGTGGGAGGAAATACAAGTAGGTAAAAGGAGGCCATTCAGGGTGCGGTGCCTTGAAACATCACAGTATGTGGTGGAAAAGCAGTGTAAGACACAAGAACGCGAGTATCACCCTCCTTCAGATATAACAAATAACCCTGCCCTTCATGGTCTTACTTCATTTTCGGGAGTCCCCTAGGTGTTCGAGCCTCAGCTAATATGTTCTCCTTTGGTCTACTCAATGGCAAGGGGCCTCCCTCAGAGGTCTCGGGAATGTGTGTCACACTCAGCCATAATTTAAATTAACTAAGATGGAAAAGCTCTCCATCCTGTGCTATGAGCAGATACTGGTGCTTCCGCAAGCATCATGTTTAGAAAAGTTCTCTAGGGGATGCCACTTGACTCGAAAGTGATACCTAGCTGTGTATGGTTTTCAGCACAATTTTACAGGCTTTGGGTTGAAGATATCACCGTTTATTTGCTGTTTTCTTACTCGGCAGAAAACAGCCCTTTTAATTATTATATCACCGTGCCGGGTGGTGGTGGTGGCGCACGCCCTTAATTCCAGCACTTGGGAGGTAGAGGCAAGCTGATCTTTGTGAGTTCGAGGCCAGCCTAGTCTACAAGAGCTAGTTCCAGGACAGGTTCCAAAGCTACAGAGAAACCCTGTCTCGAACAACAAAAACAACAAAAGAAATTCTATCACCATAATCCTCCCCCGTATCGCCCATCTTTTGGGGTACAGCTTCACGTCTCTATTTCGGGGTCTCCTAAATTGCCTCTGTCACGTGACACTTGTCCGGAAGCGGCTACGTGTTAGAAACAGTGACGTAGTAGATTTGCTGAGCTCTCAGACCAGGTGAATAATTGAAGTTCTTTTCCTGCAGGACATGTCACTTTGGACCCAGACACTGCTCATCCTTCCCTGGTCTTGTCTGAGGACTTCAGACGGGTGACATTTGGATATATACCACCGTGGTTGGCTGGTTCTCCAGAGAGACTGGATTTCAGTGCGTCCGTGTTGGGTGCAGGGAGTTTCAGCTCAGGGAGGCATTATTGGGAGGTATCTGTGGAACAGGCAACACAGTGGCAGTTGGGCATATGTGACTGTACAGAGACAAAGAACAATGGACCCCAGGCTTCTGGAGATAAGTACCTGCTCATGGGGTCCATGATGGGGACAGAGTACACCTACTGGGTCTTTCCCCCTTTAAGAAAGGTCTCTCAGAGAAAGCAAACGCACAAAGTGGGAGTCTTCGTGGACTGTGGCTGTGGCCAAGTATCATTCTACAATGTGGCAGAGCAATCCGTCATTTATAGTTTCCTTGACCTTACCTTCCGAGGAACAGTTAAACCTATATTTTCTCTTTGTTTTCCAGTTGGAGATGAGAGTACAAATTCTCTTACTGTCTGTCTCCCTCAAATGCATTCCTGAAATGCTGCTGTTAGCTTTCATCTTCCTGGTTGTGAAACCCAAGGTCACCGGAGACCAGAAAATAAGATTAAAACTTTACCAAACATTTATGTAATTCATTCAATAAAGCCTCCAGACTTTTGCGGTAATGTGGCTTTCAACATCGTTCAATGGAAGAAGTTGTGTTTAAGTTGAATAATGACGGGGTCGTCTAGCGACTCGGGGGGGATCAAGGCACTTGAGGCCAAGCTTGACAACCTGAGTTCAATTTCTGGACCCTACAGAGTGGAAAGAGAGATTGACAAAAGAAATGATGAAGGAAATTAGAGGATGAATGTAGTCTTGTTTCCTCAGAACTAGGAACAGGACTGCAGACTTTTTTTTTTTTTTTTTTTTTTTTTGCTTTGTTTTGGGTTTTTCAAGACAGGGTTTCTCTATCTTTGGAGTCTGTCCTGGAACTAGCTCTTGTAGACCAGGCTGGTCTCGAACTCACGTCTGCCTGCCTTTGCCTCCCGAGTGCTGGGATTAAAGGTGGATGCCACCATTGTCCAGTTTGCAGATGCATTTTAAAGAAGACTTGTGAATGAAGTCTATCAGGAATGGGAGCAGGATGACATGTCTCCCAGTGCATTTTCATGGATCTTGTTGTGGATCCTGCTGCTAAGGTGGAGGGCATCCAGTTACTGAGCATGGGCATCAGGACTTAGAACAGCTATTCCACAGAGACAGGGTCTTGTGATTTCCCTGGATGTTTTACCTGCATTAAGGCAGTGTCAGAAAAAATGTGATTATATAACTATGCTTTATTTGTGTGTGTGTGTGATTGCCAATCCCTGTGGATATCAGAGGCATCTCACCCCCTTCAACCTGGAGTTACAGATGATAGTCACAATGGGGATACTGGGAATCAATCTCGGGTCCTCTGGAAGAGTAGCAAATACTCTTAGCCTTGGAACCATCTCTCTAGCCCCTAAAGTAATTGATTTCTTGTTCTTCCTTCCTTTCCTAAGTTTTATTTTGTGTGGGTGTGCCCACTAGGACGCATGAGTCGTGGCACTCTTAACTTGGAGGTCAAAGGACAAATTTTGGGAGTCCTTTCTTTCCCTCTACCATGTCAGTCACATGGGCAATGAAACTGTCAGACCTGGGGCTAGCAGTTTTATCCAGTAAACCATCTTGAGGGCCCGCCAGTGAAATTTCTTTCTAAAGGGCTGGAGAGAGAGGTGACTCAGCAATTAAGAGCACTGGCGTCTCTTCCAGAGGACCTGGGTTCAAATCCCCAGCATCCACCTGGCATCTCACAACTGTAACTCCAAGATCTGACACCCTCACACAGACATACATGCAGACACAATACCAGCTTGCATAAAATAAGAATAAATTGTCATAGCCAGAACCTGGAAACAGCCTAAATGCCCCTAACCCAAAAAATGGATAAGGAAAATGTGGTACATTTACACAATGGAGTACTACACAGCAGAAAAAAATGACATCTTGAATTTTGCAGGAAAATGGATAGAGCTAGAAAACATTTTGAGTGAGGTAACGCAGACATAAGAAGACAATTATCACATGTACTCGCTCATAGGTGGTTTTTAAGTATAAAGCAAAGAAAGTCAGCCTACAAACCACAATCCCTGAGAATTTAGACAGTAATGAGGACACGGAGAGAGACTTACATAGATTTAATCTACATGGGAAGTAGAAAGTATAAAAAGACAAGATCTAAGTAAATTGGGAGCTTGGGGAAGGATTTAATTGGGGAGTGGAGAAAAATGTGGAGCTCAATAAATATCAATAAAAAATGTTAAAAATAAATTATTTAAAATACTTTTTTAATTTTAAAAGTATATATATATATATATGGGTGTTTTGCCTCCATGTATGTCTCTATGCCACTTGTGTCCTTGGTGCCTATGGAGGCCAGAAGAGGGCCTCCAGATTCCCCGGAACTAGAGTTGCAGACGGTTATGAGTCACCATGTGGGTGCCAGACATCAAACTTGAGTTGTCTGGAAAAGAAGCCAGTGCTCTTAACTGCTGAGCCATCCCTTCAGCGCCACCAAAATTCTTTTCAACCTAGGAGGTGACTGAGTGTGCAAAGTGTTCTGGTATAAGGACCAGCACCCATATGGATGCCCAGCAGCCCACATGTCTAATCCTAGTCCTAGGAGCGAGGAGACAGGCAGATCCTGAGAGCTAGTTAGCCTGCTGGTGCAGGTAAGAGAGCAAGAGGTCCTGTCTCGAGTTCATTGGAGATCAACAGCAGAGAACTAAAGCCAACCTCTACCGCACACACACGTAAGCACGCACCATGCACACACATCCATTAGTGGACCCAAAGCATTCAGTGCTCAGAAATGCCTTCATTTCTCACAGTGTGTATCCACTTACTACCTTGGGCGGTAGTCCACAGGAAAATGCTTCAGCCAATAAGAAAGTTCTTTGCATTTGCATAAGGACTTCTGTGTGAAAGACAGGTTACCATACTTTACCCCTTTTGTCGCTTTCATTGCCTTAAGAAAAGGTCTCATGTAGTCCCAGGCTAGCCTCACATGTGTTAATAGCCAAGGATGACCTAAGCCTATCAGATTTAATAAAGACACATAGAGACTTTGTTATAGGCTGTGGTGGTTTGAATGTAATTAGCCCACATAAACTCAAAGAGTGCCACTTTTAGGAGGTGTGGCTTTGCTGGACAAGGTATGGCCGTGGTGAAGGAAGAGTGTCACTGTGGGGGTGGGCTTTTAGGTCTCCTCTGCTTAGGACATTGCTCACAGTCCACTTCCTGATTCTTCTGATCAAGATGATCTGCCTGCATACTGCCATGCTCCCTGCCGTGATAATGGACTGAATCTCTGAGCTGTAAGCTGCTACTTCAATTAAATGTTTTTTGTTTTTTGGTTTGTTTTTTTTTTATAAGAGTTGCTGTGGTCATAGTATCTCTTCACAGCAAAAGAAATGCTAAGACATGTTGCATGTTACTCTGTACTTTTTTGGCAATTGATTTCTAATATCAAACAAAACATAAGCCTTCACATTATAGACAGTTTATATCCTGCAGGGCACTCAGTAAAACCTACACACACACAGGCTGTAATCCCTATAAATATTACCCTGATTTCTTCATTTTAGATACAATGAAACTGTCAAGACTCCTGTTTTCCCTAACACACAAGAAATTGCATTTTTAAGCTTTGCTCCATCAGCAGGGTAAATACCAGTCATCTGCAGAGTGATTGTTAACATTGCTTTATCTTTGAGCAACAAGGTACTCAACAAATTTACCTTCATCTAGACCAGGGGTTCTCAACCTGTGATTCTCAACCCTTTCGCAGGGGTGACCAAAGTCCATTGGAAGACACAAATATTTCCATTACAGTTCATAACAGCAAAATCATATTTATGAGGTATCAAAGAAATTTTATGATTGGGGGTCACCATAACATGAACTGCATTAAAGGGTCACAGTACTAGGAATATTGAGAACCACTGATCTACATGGATTATTTTTCTGTTATAATAAGCCGGGTTTTGTTTGTTTTGTTTTAATTACCTCTGAAGGTTCTTTAGACCTTTATGGAATCCTAACCTAGAGACTGGGGGTTGGCAGACTTATTTTTTAAAAATCTGGTAATTACTCTTTCTAAGCTCAACATCTCTCTTGGCAGCAACTCTACAGCTGTGGAACGAAGAAAGCCATGGGCTCTTCTGAACGAAATATATGTGCATTTTCTCAAATAAAATTTGATTTACATAAGAGAGGCCAAAGTTTGTTGGTCCCTGCTGCAATTTATTTTTTTCTTTTCAATATTCTAACTATCTATCCCTCAGACAAGACCTAACAAAATTGACTTGAAAAAGGTTAATGCATTTTTCTTTAACAGACTTTCAAATCTACACCTCCCTCTACTCTCTCTCTCTCTCTCTCTCTCTCTCTCTCTCTCTCTCACACACACACACACACACACACACACACGGACCAGAATATGCTCTGGGATTTGTTGGTTTATGCCATACTTTCCTAAATTCAGTCCAAATCTGTATGTCTCTATTTTTGTGCCTATTGGTCTCAGTGATAGCTTTCATATTTCTAAAGCCTGGGATTTCAATTTTCACATTATTTGAACTTGGCAATAGTCAAGTAGTCAATACTATTAATCTTTTGCTCTTTAGGAAATTCTCATTTTTCTCCCACTATTGTGGCTGCCGCTTCCTTTTCTTCCAGACTATCAGGCAACCGGTAATTACTTGATGCTCCATCCAATGACCTCACTTACCATGCAATTACCGCATTACTGGGGATTGAACTCGGGGCCTCAAACATGTTAGAGAAGCTCTGCCACAGAGTTAAACTCTATTGATACAGGTTTTCCTTGGTAGCCCAGGCAGTCCTTGAACCTTTAAGTTTCTTTCCTCAACCTACAGAGTGCTGAGATTATAGGCATGTGCCGCCATACCTACCCTTCCATTGGCTTCTTTTTTATGCCTGGTTCAATGCTAGAGGTTGAATTTAGGAACTTGAAAATTAGAGATGCTCTACCACTGTGCTATAATCACAGTTTCTGTGGCTTCTTGATGATACTAGAATAAAAGCAAAACCCATCTCTCAAGCTCTATCTCCTCTGACCCCTCATCTCTGTCCTGCCTACTGTCAAATTTCTCCCAACCTTTAACTTTTAGGAACTTTACTCTCAAATTTAGAAACCAAAGGCAACTACAGCAAATCTTTCAGCCAGGAATAGTTCAATTATGTAGGCAAATGTACTTGTTAGCTGATGTTTGATCTTAAGTTGCTTGTTAATTTATAGAATTGTTGGTAGGACAGAGGACTGCAGTTCAGTTGTTCTGTGTTGTGTGTGTGAGTTTTGTGTCTAACCAAAGAACCAATTTTTCGCATCTATAATTTTTAAATTCATGACCTTTGGTATTGTTTGTTTGCAGTGTTGGGAGTAAGAACCTAGGATTTTGCACTTGAAACAAAAGGGATCAACCACTGAGCCACATCGCCACCCCCTAGCT